TTTTTATGAACTTTGTCATTCCTGGCTACTTCAGTAATTTGAAGTAGATGCAGTACAGTTATAACATATGAAGAGTTACTATGAATAGTGAAGATTTAAGTCTAATTAAAAACTCCTTAGAGAAATCAATTGAATATAGCATTTGAGATAAAATAATTTCTTACGAATTGATAGTTGTGTTGTTTGTATTCTTCTAATTTATTTGTTCATTTGTCATTGAAATGAATGAAGTATAATGGTGATATAGTAAAGCATATAATGAATATCATCACCCAACTACTTACATCTTATACACATAGTTATATGTAGAATATTTACACCCTTATAGATATCTTGCCTTATTAGTCAAGATTCGAATGACATAAATCTTATCATAAAATCAAGCAATTAAGATACATACGAATTTGAGAAGAATATTGACGGAGATACTTTGCCACGTTTACATTTTGATACCGGTGTAGCTTATTTGTTTGTTCAGATCCATATAGTACATAATATTTTGAAGAAATGAGGTGATTTTGATATAATCAAAGTCATTGTATATCAATACTTACCGGAATACTATTATGAGCACTATTCGTTGCAATTACATCTTGTTGATCGATTTTATACTGTCGTTGGCGAAATTTCAGACGTCACTTTGTAAGAGAATTATTTCGTTCTTATTCATTAGAAATTGATTCATATTTTCGTTTACAGCAGATGTGCAATGATTACTAATGTTTCATCATTTACTTTGTATTATAATTATAGAAAATATCTCCAAACAACGATAAATTTTATGGAAAAACAATATCCAGTACCCAAAAAATGACACCATCGGGTATCAAATTCAAAGATCAATATCTTACTCATCTTTTTATGGTTATAAAAGAAACATTATTTTATTATTTCTTCATAGCTTATTAAAGATAATGATGAATAATAAAAAAACATCTGTGACCATATGTTAATAAATTGTTTGTATCTTTTCATTTCGTTATTCATTCTCTCATTTTCTTCTTTCCGTGCTCATACTTTTAAAAAGAACAAATGTCTGCTTCGACTAGTAAGTTTGAAAAAAAAATTCTATTTAAATAAATTCTAATATTTTTCTATTTATTAGATAAATCAATTAATCCAAACGAAGATTTAAAAAAAGAATTTCTTATGTTTGATACAAACAAGGATGGATTTATTGATAAAAATGAATTAAAAATCGTTTTACAGAAAATTTTACCAAAATTTCAATTACCCGATGAAGAAATTCAACGTATGATTTCAAATGTTGATCGAAACAATGATGGAAAAATTGACTATAATGGTAAATAAATATAAGATATTAATAATTTTATGTATTGAAATATAAATGATAATTTTTTTTTTAATAGAATTTATGGAATCAATCTATCCACAATTACCACCAAGCTAATCATTTTAGAATACATTTATTTCACTTTTCATGTATTCCAATAACAACAAAAAAAAAATAACATTTTTAAAGCGTAATTTGAATTAATACTTTTAACATTGTTAATTGTTATCTATTCTCATCATAATAAATATCTTAACAATTTCATATATTATCAAAATGAAGATTGTCTTATTCTTTTTTATGATCCGATGATTTAATCTGTGGATAGTATATGATTATTAAATTGAGATAAATAATCAATCACACATGAAATCTTTTTAGTAATAATTATCTTACGTTATTCTTAGAGTTTTATGCACGGTAGATGATACAATAAGTTAATCATTGCACATTATATTATTTTTTCGTTTAGTATTAAACATACATACAAGTATTACATACAAATAAGATCTATGTTTATACGAATACATTCAATTTTTACTATTGCTATTCAAAATCTGAAAATATATTTTATAGATAATTTGACAAATTATAAACAATTCAGTTCTTTATGCAAATGTTTCATAAGATGATATGTGATAACTTCCAGAAATAAATAATAGCCGAATATAAGCTACTTCTAAAAGATAACACAAGCATATTGATTATTAAAACAATAAACTTTGACTCAACATAAAATTTTAAAATGTACACGATCAACTTGTTTCCTGTATTTTATTGATGTCTTCGAAATAGATAAATAGAAGTATTATAATTCAATTTTTTATTTTCAAAATTGGATGATATTGAAATGTCTTCAATAAATTTTTCTCGTCTTCATGCAGATACTTGTTAATGCTTTTTGTAAGACGAACAATCATCTATGAAATCGACACGTAAAAATAAATATGTGAATGTCTAACACAGAATACATATGATCACTATTCAGTGGCAAGTAGATGATAATAGTCAATTAGATGATTGCATTAAAGTTAATTTATTTATTTCAAATATCTGATTAGTACAGAAACAAATAACACGTAAAGGAAGATTATTTCATGAATTTTATTCATTTTAAAAATATATCGATATTGGATTTTTTTTTGATTTACCTGAATGTGTATATTTGTAGATCTTCCATATTTCTGATAACATTATAATAGTCATAGAACATGCATACGCGTAGTCTTAGACTCGTGAGAATCAAAAAAAGATAAAAAAAAAGGACAATCGACAACACATATAATAATGAAATGTTTCTTTTTCTTCGTTATTTCAACAGAAAATCTTTATTAAAATTTTTATTATTGTTCTGGCATTTTTGTCATGTTATTCAGTAATCATTTGTCTCGATATAAAAATGATTGTAAATTTTCATCATTTTGTAATAATGACTGAAAAAAACAAAATTCTCTTTAAAGATGTTCTGTATAAGGCTAAATATTTTGAGAACTATTTGTTATAGATTATTTTTTTGAATTATCAACAACGACCATACTTGAACGTCCTTTTCGTTTGTTACTAACTGATAAATATCTCTGATGAGATCTGTAACATTTTGTGACGTATATTTAACAAACATGAAAAAACCAAGTGAAATACTGATAACAGAGAAAACAATATAAATGATGATAAAAAAAACAATCTTGAAAGAAAATTCTTATATTATAAAAATAACACATTATTCTCATTCATTTATAAACATTTCTTCTTGAAGTAATCCACATTAATATCATTACAAGAAATAATGGGTAACAGCTGCACATCAACAAAATCTATTCAAACAAATGCACAGACTAATGCTAAACACGCATCAAACTTTTCCAAGGATGCAGTTGCAAATCGGCATATGAACATGCAGAGAATGCAAAATGTCCTCCTTATTTGGTTAGACAACAATATTAACGAAAATAATGCTGATTGTAGTAATACAATCAAACAATTAAAACGTGTAGTTAACAATATAAACACGTTTACAGATAGCGACCAGTGTGTTGAATTTATTCAAACCATTAACAACAACAAAGTATGTATGATTGTGTCTGGTGCACTTGGTAAACAAATTGTGCCTCGTGTGCATGATATGTCCCAAGTAGACACCATTTTTGTTTTTTGTAATAATCGAGAACGGCATAAACAATGGGTCAAAGAATGGCCTAAAATAAAAGGATTCTTCACAGATATAACATCAATCTGTGAAGCTCTTAAACAAGCTGCTCACCAATGTGAGCAAAATGCCACAACAATCAGCTTTGTGACATCAAACAAGAAATTGGATCAATTAAATCCAACCTTTATGTATACTCAGATCTTGAAAGAGATCTTATTAACCATCGATTTCGAAGATGAACATTTCAAACAATTTATTACTTATTGTCGCGACGTATATGAAGATGATGAAAATGAATTTAAAAATGTTAGTCAACTGCAAACAACATACAAAAACAACATACCAATATGGTGGTATACATGGGATGCATTTTTATATCGTATGCTCAATCAAGCATTAAGATTAATGAATGTTGATATGATTATTCGAATGGGTTTCTTTATTAAGGATCTACATCGTAATATTCAACGACTTCATTCGGAACAATCTGATGGTCAACAATCTGGTGAAACATCTACAGTTTATCGTGGTCAAGGTCTTTCAAAAAAAGATTTCACTGAAATGACAAATAGTGAAGGTGGACTTCTTTCATTTAATAACTTTCTATCAACTAGTAAAAATCGTGATGTTTCTCTTAATTTCGCACGACAAACTGCTACAAATCCGGATCTTATTGGAATTTTATTTGTTATGTCTATTAATCCTACGAATTGGACGACTCCATTTGCTTCTGTTACAGATGTTAGTTACTTTCATAATGAAGATGAAGTTCTCTTCTCTATGCATACCATTTTCCGTATTGGAGATATTAAACTAATGGATCGAAATAATCATCTCTATACAGTGAATTTAACATTGACCAGTGACAACGA